CACACACAGACCAGCCCGCAGGCCACGGGCCCCACAGACCCTGCGGGGGGGTGGGTATGTGTCACATCTGGGCTGGGGGCTGTACAGGGACTGGGCCCCGGGGCAGCCGCATACGGGCGTGGGGCGGGGCCTTTAAATTGCCCCCCCCCCATCAGCAGGCGGGTCTACAAAGGCTCCCGCCCCCACCCGCCAGCTGCAGCCGCCCGCGAGGCCGGGGAGGCCGGGCCCAGCCCCGGGACCTGGCGGGGGCTCGCGGCGCTGCACAGCTGGGGCTGGCCAGGGCAGGGGCGGGGCGCGAGCAGGCTGCGGGAGGGGCGGGGCCGCGTGAGCACGTATGCAGATCTCCATGCGAGCGGAGCATTGTGGGAACGGGACCACGCTAACGAGCACGGCCCCAATTGACCGTGCGGGGCTCGGTAGCGAGAAGGGTCCGAGCCCGAGGCCTGTCGCAGCAGCTGACGGCGTCCGCGGCTGGTGAGGGCGGGGCCGGCGGTCGGTCCGAGTCGGGCCCCACCGTGTGTTGAGAGTATGGGGCGAGCGAGGGCGGGCGGCGGCCGGGGCGAACCAACTCATACTTACCTGGCAGGGGAGATACCATGATCACGAAGGTGGTTTTCCCAGGGTGAGGCTCATCCATTGCACTGCGGGTGTGCTGACCCCTGCGATTTCCCCAAATGCGGGAAACTCGACTGCATAATTTGTGGTAGTGGGGGACTGCGTTCGCGCTCTCCCCTGGCTCGCGGGTGCAAAGACAGAACAACGGGCTCGGGGGGAGCTTCTCGCTGAGGGTGTGGCTTTTTATTACTCGGCTGCACGTCATTCCTACGTCAGCGTTGGGGCTGGTGACCGCTCCCAGGGGCTGTTGGTTTTTAAAGCGAGGGGCCCACTCCCGCCGGGACAGCAGCTGCCCCTACACAGCTTGGCGCTGGCTTCTGGCCTCCAACTGCGGCGCGGGGCCTGGGGGGGTGGGACGGCACTTTCCAGCCGAGGAGGAGAGGGCGGGGCCACAGAGCAGGGCGGACTTACGGGGGGGGGAGCACCCCCCATTACCTGGCCTCAGGGTGAGCGCCGGGGGGACGGGCAGGCTCTTGGCTGGAAGCAGCAGCGGGGGGGCGGTCCGGGGATGGGCCTCAGGGGAAGCTCAGGGGTTGAGAGCTGGGCCGGGCAGGGCAGGGCTCTGGTGGCGGAGCGGGCGCTGGGGTGACGGAAGGGCCTTAAAAGAGGGGGGGCCACCAGCGCCCGCCGCCCCCCCCCGCTCTCTGTCAGCTGTCGGGCGCCTGTGCCTTTGGCCAGAGGCTTTCTTGGCTGCAGCAGCGCCACCTCGTGGCGATTTGGGGGCCGGCGCTCGGCCGGGAGAAAGCCCGAGGGCTCAGGGACACTGCGCTGCGCTGCGGGGCGCCCCAGTCTGGGGGGAGGCAGGAGCTGCGGGAGAGGGAAGGAGCCTGGGAGTGAACCCGGCGGGTTGGTGGGGGTGGGTG